TTGCAACTATTTAACCAAACACTGAAATAATAATTACACAAACAATAATAGCATGGAGAGTTTTTAAGGAAATCAGAAAAAAAGAATTTTCTCTCTGATACAAAATATAGAGTGTATGTTAAACTTTGTACTTGATTTATCTGCTATCATCAGTGGCTTCTACTGTCCAGACTTTCGGATTCCTTTTACCTCACCCCATCAGATCCTATCCATGTCACATCACATGTGCAGGAATGTTAATGACTGAATTTAGTCAACTCACTGCAATGTTACTTTTTCTCTCTAAATAATTAATATTTATATTGAGTTAAAACTTTACCAGAAGTCCTCGTATTTGTTTCATATGTTGGGCATTATTATATATTTTTTATCTCCACTTCTTTTATGGCTACGTATCAGTAACTTCTGATTCCCTAGTATGTTATACCAATTGTCTTCTTCTACTGACTGATAGTTTTTTGATTTATGAAAAATCTGAAATAGATTTTATGTTGTGTTATGGATATTGAGTAACCTATTGATATGTGGAAGTATTTCTCTAATTAGAAATACCACTGATTGAGTGTTCATTGTATATAAAATATAAATACATAGTCTCATTTTATATGCAGATTTTTGTGTTGTATATATAAATGAATATATATATACACATATATGCATATATAAAATGAAAGTTATGCTACCTTTTGAAAAAAATACATTAGAGCATAATTTTGCAAGTAGGTAGTTATGCATTTTTTATACCAGCTTCAATAGCCAAATCAGTGTACATGTGGAAAAATGATTAATGTTTCTCGACCTTTANAAGACAATAGCATATTAATGTAAATACTAAAAAGTGCTTAATTAACTACTAATTATAATATTTATGTAAAAATTAATACATCAAGGCAAAAAACAGAGCACTCAGAAGTGGGTGAATTAATTCAAGCAAATTTAATACCTTCATAAAGGGTTTTCCCAAAGTAAAATGGGTCTAGATTGTTTGGTGACAGGAAAACTGTAAACTCAGAAGAAGAAAAATAACCTGTATCCTTTCCTTTCTATTCTAAAATTGTGGACTGTAGCTAGAATAATGTCAATATTTAAAAGATAAAACTACAGAAGTAGTATAAAAAAGAACATCTTTGGATCTCGTGTGTTTATAAACTCTCTGTAACATATAATACTGGAAGATGCAGGAAAACTATTTTTAGTGTTAAAGTAAAAGCTATCTCTTCAAAGGACACATAGGCAAAGGTTATAATTTTAACTGAATGGAAAAACAGGGAATAGTTCCCCTTACTCCAATTTGATAAAAAGTTAATAATTGCTAATAAATGTGCACGCAGCAGTTCAAATTAAAAGAATATGGCCAGAAACCCAATAAAGATGAAACAAAGAATACTTTTAGAATGTCTGTAAGATAATTTTCTTATTTCTACTGATTATGACACTTAATTCACTAGCAGTCTGAAAAATGCAATTGAGACAAAAAGGAGACACACTTTAATAAACATAAGAATATCAACAATTAGAAACCTGGATTTGACTATGCTTTAGCAAAGATATGAAGTAAGTATCATGCTTATGCATTGCTGATGGTAGTATGAACAGACAAAGATATTTTTGAAAATGACACCATTTCATCAGTTGGGGGTTGTAACAGCTTAGGTGTTCCTGGATTAGGAAATTAATACAGGAAATGTAGTGATTGTTATGAGATGCAGTGCAGTTTTGAGAAAAAATGAAAATGATTATACTGTCGCTGTACCATTTGAGTTAAACAAAACAAATGAAAATTAGCTTTACTTTATAACTATATTTA